CAGGTTCACTTCTTCTCTGCTTGAAACTGCCTCCCCTCTCAACATTAACACATACTTCCAATAGGATTTTTGAACATAGGGTAATTTATAAAACAAAACCAAACTCAGCACTGGATCAAGACTATCTTCCTCTCAAGCTTCCAGTGCCTGAATTGTTCTATCTGATTTTAGATTTTAAAACATTCAGGACAGAGATGACATCTTCCTCTGTGTTTGTTCAGCAATATGGTCAACTGGCAATGATCAATCAATAACCAAACCCTGCAGTCTTTTCCCAGGCATAGCTCCTAATGACCTCCACTATGGACAGCAGAAATTTCCCCAGTTAAAACATGCTGAAGCATAGATATTTGATTGAATTCACAAAGCCAATGATGCAGAATCTCACCAGTCCAGTCTATGCTGAAACACACATTCCTCCTGCGCAGAAAACTAGTGGCTCCTTTTCAGCTGTAAGTAAAGATTTAATAGTAGATTCTCTAGTATGGCCTTGCATTGCTAAGATGTATTTTATTTTCACAAAACGTACCTAGGTACATGTAATACTGTACTATGGAAAATAGTCACAAATTACTACAACTCAACTACCATCGGAAAAATAAAAGAACAAAGTACATTTTATGATGCATTATCCGTGCTTTTTATTGTTTGCTTGCTTGTGACTGCTGCTTATTATACTAACGATTGTTTCACTGCTATGTTCTCTTCCTCCCCTCTCTTGTTTTGGTGTGGTATTACCTGTTTTGTCTCATCAGAGATGTAGATCTTTCAGACAGCTCTTTTTATTCCATGTGTGTAAAGTACCTAATAGTATCGAGCTGTGATCCCTGTCCGGGCCTCTAGGCAAGTAATGCATAACCACTTACAATATGTTTTGTGACTGCAGATATAATCCACCCCAAAATATTAATACATGTATTTTTCTGACAGGCTTCATATATTCTACCTTTTTAACTTTTTCCTGGTTTTGAGCTGCCATTTTGCTACGGATGAGAAATTAGTGACCTGACCTTTTCCCAAAGCTATGAATGTAGAAATGCATGTGTACAAATGAACAGTGGAGCAGAGATTTTAAAGGCACACAGAGCTGTATATTATTAATGATAACATATAGCTGCTGGAGCTGAAGCATTTGTACTGTGTGCCCTCTTCATTTCTGCACGTGATTAGATTCTCTCATTAGAATGAAACCCATTTATCATCCTTTCCGTACAGATAATATGATGATTGATGGTTTTGCAACCAGCTGCATAATATGCAAATATATGACTTTAATATTTTTACAAAACAGCATGCCCGTGTGCCTGTTTTAATCCCCTTAACACTCATATTATAAGTATGTCATGTAATACAATCACAGCAGGACCACTGGACCCTCTCATCAGAATGGACACAATTTAAATAGCAATCAGGCTTGCAGCTTTGTGGTATTATCATAGTACACATGGGTATCAGGTTTTGAAATGCAGTCATTTCTCTTCTCCAACACTATCTGATGCAAGACATTGTCTTTACTAAGAGCTGACTCATTAAAATGTCCCATGTTATGAGCACTCTACATATTTACATCTCCTAGATATTAGTAAAATTGTCTTACCAGCTAGTGAGGGAGACATATTTCCTCCTTAGGGGCTTGATCCTGTCTATATGTACTACTGACTTCATTGGGCTGACTCACAGCAGTAAGCTCTATGCCTACTGGTAAGTGTTTACAAGATTGGGCCATGTGGGCAGTGTATTTCTCAGTTGGGTGCATAATATTAGAGTAATGAAATGTACTTTTGGAAAGTAGAGGAAATGCCTCAGATATCTTTCATCTTATATGAGCTGATAGAAATCCAATATGTCAATAGACTGAAGTTATTTGTAGGCTGATTGCTTGTTATGTCAGAGATGGCTCAGCCAAAAACATATGCTTTTGCAGTCCATAAAACATCTGCGCTACTCAGATCCTTCATTTCTCAACCCTTCTCCAGGCACAAGATTGCACAAATATTTCAAGAACAAAATTCAATAAAGATGAAAATAGTAAAAGGACAGGCTAATTTATATTGACACAAGTGAACATGGCAGCTGATGGATAAACTAAATTATTTCAAATCAAATTGGACAGAGTTTGACCAATGGAGTATTTTCATGTGGATTTCAAATATGGGAATGGCAATTTCCTTTTCTGAGAATGGCAAAATGACCCAGACTGATTTTACTTGTGTGATTTTCTACATGCCTCACAGAGCGCTATGGATTCCCTATCCAGTTTTAGTTCTTATAGCACACCCAATCCTTGCCAGCATAGGAAACCAATAGATTGGCAATTAGAAGAGAATAGAGGAAGCCAGGCTGGAGTCTTCTGCATGACAGAACACTGCCATCAGGCCCACTGACCTAGGCCAAACAATGTACATGTGAAAGGATATTCTTCCATAATCATTTCCACAAATTATATAATGCCCAAGCATTTCAATTCCTTCAACACAGTGTAAATATGATTTTCAAAACACTGCCAATTACAGCGACAGAAATGGAACAGCCACCATATGCTCTGTGGTGCTGCTACCATAACATGCACTAGTGATACAGGAAAAGGATACACTTTTGATAGTCTCATTCCTAGATATGGTTAATCAGACCCCTTCACTCTCTTGTTCTACCCAGTGTCTCACCAGCTATGCCCATACACATCACTTCAGCTGACAGTGCCCTGGTAGGCAGAATTCTCTCAGTGGAGGATCTGTGGGTGTGGAAATGGCTTCCCCAGAGGCTGGACTGAGACCAATCTTATCACCTTTTAGGCACAGCAAGATGCATATCTTCATGCAAGCATTTTCCTGATGGCTAGAAAGCCTTAATGTTGAAGAAATGCCTATTCATACTGAATACCTTGCAGAGATTGTTCAAGAACTGTGAGTATATGTGTGTGAAATCATTAATCAGCCTTTTCTCCCTGCCCCTGATGTCATAGTCCCTCCCTAATTTGAATCATGGAGAGAAGGAAAGATGGAGGAAAAAGAAGAAAGGATGGAAAAAAGGAAGGGGAGAAGGGAGAAAAAATATAAAGGGAGGAATACAAAAAAATCCAATCTGAACTGTAAATATCAGAGCCAGAGATATTAAAGAAGTGCTTTTCTCCTTCTGCGCCCACTGTTTAATGGCATAGAGATATAAACCTAAGACATGCTATCTGAAAGAGAATTAGCGCTCTATTTCAATGTTTTTATAGAAGTACAGGTGTTATAAAAAGCAGGCAGAAGTTTTAAAGGCCTGATAATATTCTATTAGTTCTAAAAACTAATGATTTGACCAATGTGGATAAGCGCTCTCTCAACCTCAGAATGATTATCGCAGTCAGGACCAAGAAAACAGTATAATTCATGCATATAATTTGATTGCATACAAGGCAAAAACATTTACTATTTTACCCCTTCCCTCTAGGCATTTGGCTTACCCTTTTGTTGTCAGTATGCCTCAGTTTCCCTTCACTGGCTGCAATTACCCTCCAGTGGTAAGTAATGACAGCTTTTGCTTTCAAGGTAGGTATTACTCTTCTTGGTGGGTGGTTTAGCTTTGCATCCAAATATAAGAGTCCACCCCTGCTGGAATAATTAAAAGTCCTAACAAAGAAAATAGTCCTTTACCACTCCAAATAGTCTTTTGTCCTAGGTCCACCTGGATCTTTTCTCTTGATGTGTGAGTGAAAGGCATCTTTCTCCCACCCTCTTTGGAAGATTCAATCTGGAAGCGCTAAATGAGAGCAAGTGCATATACCATGTCTCAAACCCACACTTCTTCTCTAATGAAGGCTGTGTTCTTTTGTTTCTGCTATGGGTCTAAATCTTCACTCATTAGCACAAGGCTCACAATTATCTAATGCACTGAACATGGTTCCTTCTTGTGCCTCTTTGGGTCTCCTTCTCCGTGGTTCTTCACAGGCCTCTTCCTAGCCCTCTTCAACTGGGTGAATTACTTCAGGTCTTACATTTTCCCTAGTCATTCCTCCCCACAACCATTCTAGCCTCTCTCCACGCTGCAGAAAGACTATTCCTTACAATTCCTTGGCACTCCTTCCCAGCATCGCTTTAACCTGGCTTTATCCTACAGTTCTCAGAATCTCACTCGAACCTACATCTCCCGGAATTCCCTTGTTCCTTACTAGATGGGGACCAGACCCATATTTAGTCTACAACCTCCACTGAAAGTGTCGGCATCTTGTTACACTCCCCTTTAAATTAACTGGGCCCCAACCATGTTCCTGCCTTAATGGTAGTCATTTATAATGTGAACAATAAAAGATTTGGTGTTTTACTTAAAGCTATAGCTTCTTGAGTCAAGTGATTTTGTGAGAACAATATTTTTCTTTTTCTCTTTAAAGTGAGTTTCCAGCTCTCATAATTGAGGGGAAATGTTATCTCACAGCATCCTGAAAACTCTAATATCTGAAGGCCGATATTAAAAATGAAAAAAGGAAATCCCATTCAATTTTTTTAAGAATATATCTTGATTTTTAGCGTCTGACTTATTTTTTTTAATGTTTGTGGTTGGTAACACCATAATTAGGGCCCTACCAAATTCGTGGTCCATTTTGGTCAATTTCACTGTCATGGGATTTTAAAAATCCTAAATTTAATGATTTTAGCTATTTTAATCTGAAATGTCATAGCCCTGGTCTACACTAGGACTTTAGGTGAAATTTAGCAGCGTTAAATCGATGTAAACCTGCACCCATCCACACCATGAAGCCCTTTATTTTGACTTAAAGGGCTCTTAAAATCGATTTCCTTACTCCACCCCTGACAAGTGGATTAGCGCTTAAATCGGCCTTGCCGTGTCGAATTTGGAGTATTGTGGACACAATTCGACGGTATTGGCCTCCGGGAGCTATCCCAGAGTGCTCCATTGTGACCGCTCTGGACAGCACTCTCAACTCAGATGCACTGGCCAGGTAGACAGGAAAAGAATCGCAAACTTTTTAATCTCATTTCCTGTTTGGCCAGCGTGGCAAGCTGCAGATGACCATGCAGAGCTCATCAGCAGAGGTGACCATGATGGAGTCCCAGAATCGCAAAAGAGCTCCAGCATGGACTGAATGGGAGGTACGGGATCTGATCGCTGTATGGGGAGAGGAATCCGTGCTATCAGAACTCCGTTCCAGTTTTCGAAATGCCAAAACCTTTGTGAAAATCTCCCAGGGCATGAAGGACAGAGGCTATAACAGGGACCCGAAGCAGTGCCGCGTGAAATTTAAGGAGCTGAGGCAAGCCTACCAGAAAACCAGAGAGGCGAACGGCCGCTCCGGGTCAGAGCCCCAAACATGCCGCTTCTATGATGAGCTGCATGCCATTTTAGGGGGTTCAGCCACCACTACCCCAGCCGTGTTGTTTGACTCCTTCAATGGAGATGGAGGCATCATGGAAGCAGGTTTTGGGGATGAAGAAGAAGAAGAAGATGATGATGATGATGATGGGGTTGTAGATAGCTCACAGCAAGCAAGTGGAGAAACTGGTTTTCCCGACAGCCAGGAACTGTTTCTCACCCTGGACCTGGAGCCAGTACCCCCTGAACCCACCCAAGGCTGCTTCCTGGACCCGGCAGGCGGAGAAGGGACCTCCGGTGAGTGTACCTTTTAAAATACTAAACATGGTTTAAAAGCAAGCATGTGAAAGGATTACTTTGCCCTGGCATTCGCGGCTCTCCTGGATGTACTCCCAAAGCCTTTGCAAAAGGTTTCTGGGGAGGGCAGCCTTATTGCGTCCTTCATGGTAGGACACTTTACCACTCCAGGCCAGTAACACGTACTCGGGAATCATTGTACAACAAAGCATTGCAGTGTATGTTTGCTGGCATTCAAACAACATCCGTTCTTTATCTCTCTGTGTTATCCTCAGGAGAGAGTGAGATATCATTCATGGTCACCTGGTTGAAATAGAGTGCTTTTCTTCAGGGGACACTCAGAGGAGCCTGTTCCTGCTGGGCTGCTTACCTGTGGCTGAACAGAAATGTTCCCCACTGTTAGCCACGGGGAGAGGGGAGGGTTGAAGAGGTAGCCACGCAGTAGGGGGAGGAAAATGCGACCTTGTAATGAAAGCACATGTGCTATGTATGTAATGTTAACAGCAAGGTTTACCCTGAAAGAGTGTAGCCACTGTTTTATAAAATGTGTCTTTTTAAATACCGCTGTCCCTTTTTTTTTCTCCACCAGCTGCATGTGTTTCAATGATCACAGGATCTTCTCCTTCCCAGAGGCTAGTGAAGATTAGAAAGAAAAAAAAAACGCATTCGTGATGAAATGTTCTCTGAGATCATGCTGTCCTCCTACGCTGACAGAGCTCAGACGAATGCGTGGAGGCAAATAATGTCAGAGTGCAGGAAAGCACAAAATGACCGGGAGGAGAGGTGGCAGGCTGAAGACAGGGCTGAAGCTCAGATGTGGCGGCAGCGTGATGAGAGGAGGCAGGATTCAATGCTGAGGCTGCTGGAGGACCAAACCAGTATGCTCCAGTGTACAGTTGAGCTGCAGCAAAGGCAGCTGGAGCACAGACTGCCACTACAGCCCCTGTGTAACCAACCGCCCTCCTCCCCAAGTTCCATAGCCTCCACACCCAGACGCCCAAGAACGCGGTGGGGGGGCCACCGGCCACCAGCCACTCCGCCACAGAGGATTGCCAAAAAAAAGAAGGCTGGCTTTCAATAAATGTTAAAGTTGTAAACTTTTAAAGTGCTGTGTGGCATTTTCCTTCCCTCCTCCACGACCCCTCCTGGGCTACCTTGGTAGTCATCCCCTATTTGTGTGATGAATGAATAAAGAATGCATGAATGTGAAGCAACAATGACTTTATTGCCTCTGCAAGCAATGATTAAAGGGAGGAGGGGAGGGTGGTTAGCTTGCAGGGAAGTAGAGTGAACCAAGGGGCGGTGGGTTTCATCAAGGAAAAACAAAGAGAACTTTCACACCGTAGCCTGGCCAGTCATGAAACTGGTTTTCAAAGCTTCTCTGATGCTTACCGCGCCCTCCTGTGCTCTTCTAACCGCCCTGGTGTCTGGCTGCATGTAACCAGCAGCCAGGCGATTTGCCTCAACCTCCCACCCTGCTATAAATGTCTCCCCCTTACTCTCACAGATATTGTGGAGCACACAGCAAGCAGTAATAACAGTGGGAATATTGGTTTCGCTGAGGTTTAAGCGAGTCAGTAAACTGCGCCAGCGCGCCTTTAAACGTCCAAATGCACATTCTACCACCATTCTGCACTTGCTCAGCCTGTAGTTGAACAGCTCCTGACTACTGTCCAGGCTGCCTGTGTATGGCTTCATGAGCCATTGCATTAAGGGGTAGGCTGGGTCCCCAAGGATACATATAGGCATTTCAACGTCCCCAACAGTTATTTTCTGGTCTGGGAATAAAGTCCCTTCCTGCAGCTTTTGAAACAGACCAGAGTTCCTGAAGATGCGAGCGTCATGTACCTTTCCCGGCCATCCCATGTTGGTGTTGGTGAAACGTCCCACCAGAGCTTGCAGCACTATTGAAAAGTACCCCTTGTGGTTTATGTACTCGCCAGCTTGGTGCTCCGGTGCCAAGATAGATTCCGTCTATGGCCCCACCACAGTTAGGGAATCCTATTGCAGCAAAGCCATCCACTATGACCTGCACATTTCTCAGGGTCACTACCCTTGATATCAGCAGATCTTTGATTGCGTGGGCTACTTGCATCACAGCAGCTCCAACAGTAGATTTGCCCACTCCAAATTGATTCCCAACTGACCGGTAGCTGTCTGGCGTTGCAAGCTTCCACAGGGCTATCGCCACTCGCTTCTCAACTGTGAGGGCTGCTCTCATCTTGGTATTCATGCGCTTCAGGGCAGGGGAAAGCAAGTCACAAAGTTCCATGAAAGTGCCCCTACGCATGCGAAAGTTTCGCAGCCACTGGGAATTGTCCCAGACTGCAACACTATGTGGTCCCACCAGTCTGTGCTTGTTTCCCGAGCCCAGAATCGGCGTTCCACAGCATGAACCTGCCCCATTAGCACCATGGTGCATGCATTGGCAGGGCCCATGCTTTCAGAGAAATCTGTGTCCATGTCCTGATCACTCACGTGACCGCGCTGACGTCGCCTCCTCGCCCGGTATCGCTTTGCCAGGTTCTGGTGCTGCATATACTGCTGGATAATGCGTGTGGTGTTTAATGTGCTCCTAATTGCCAAAGTGAGCTGAGCGGCCTCCATGCTTGCCTTGGTATGGCGTCCATACAGAAAAAAGGCGCGGAACGATTGTCTGCCGTTGCTCTGATGGAGGGAGGGGCGACTGATGACATGGCTTACAGGATTGGCTTCAGGGAGCTAAAATCAACAAAGGGGGTGGCTTTACATCAAGGAGTATTTCAGGCAGGACTTCACGGAGGGTTCCAATAAGAAATGGTCCACCTAAGTTATTGTTCTTATTGGAACAATGAGGTTAGTCTGGCCTCTGATTGATGCATGGCTAGATTTACCTTGCTGCACCTTCTCTGTGAGTGACTGCAGTGTGACCTAGAGGAATGAGTCCCCTAGACAGGGGAGAGGGGGAAGCAAATGAGTACAAAACAAATCTGGTCTATTTCTTGTTTTGATCCACTCCATCTATCTTTTACATCTTTGGCTGGCAGCAGACGGTTCAGAAGGACTGCAAGCCATCCACATCTCATGGCTGCTTGGCAGAAGACGGTGCAATACGGCTGCTAGCCATCCTCATCTCTTGCCTGCCTGGCAGAAGATGGTGCAATATGACTGCTAGCCATCCCCAGCTCTTGCCTGCCCGGCAGAAGATGGTACAGTACGACTGCTAGCAATCCGTATTGCCTGCCTGCTCACCATAAGATGGTTCAATAGGACTGACTGCAGGACTAAAGAGAATGACCTGGTCAAGTCACTCCAAACTTAGTCCCTGCACCCATGTCTGTCCAGGTGCTCCCGGCCGACGCGGCCAGGAGCACCTCGGACATGACGATGGCGGCTACCAGTCATATTGCACCATCTGCTGCCAGAAGGCAATGGGTTCTGCTACTGTGTAGCAATGCAGTACCGTGTCTGCCAGCACCCAGGAGACATACTGTGACGGTTACCTCAGTGGGCTCCATGCTTGCCGTGGTATGGCGTCTGCACAGGTAACTCAGGAAAAAAGGCGCAAAACGATTGTCTGCCCTTGCTTCCATGGAGGGAGGGAGGGAACGGGGGCCTGACGATATGTACCCAGAACCACCCGCGACAATGTTTTAGCCCCATCAGGCATTGGGATCTCAACCCAGAATTCCAATGGGCAGCGGAGACTGCAGGAACTGTGGGATAGCCACCCACAGTGCAACACTCCGGAAGTTGACGCTAGCCTCGGTACTGTGGAAGCACTCCGCCGAGTTACTGCACTTAATGCACTTAGAGCATTTTCTGTGGGGACACACACACTTGAATATATAAAACCGATTTCTAAAAAACCGACTTCTATAAATTCGACCTGATTTCGTAGTATAGACGTACCCATAGTATTGTAATTGGAGGGGTCCTGACACAAAAAGGAGTTGTAGGGTGGGTGTCTTATTTTGTAGGGGGGTTAGCACTACTGCTACCCTTACTTCTATACAGCTGCTGGTGGCGGCGTTGCCTTCAGGGCTGGGCAGCTGGAGAGTGGCGGCTGCTGGCTGGGTGCCCACCTCTGAAGGCAGAGCCAGCAGCAGCAGTGCAGAAATAAGGATGGTATGGTATTGCCACCCTTACTTCTGCGCTGCTGCTTACAGAGCTGGGCCCTCAGTCAGCAGCTGCTGCTCTCTGGTCACCAAGGTCAGAAGGCAGCGCAGAAGTAAGGGTGGCAATACTGTGCCCCCCTAAAATAACCTTGTGACCCCCCGGCAACTCCCTTTTGAGTCAGGACCCCCATTTGAGAAACACTGGTCTCTCCCATGAGATCTGTATAGTATAGAGTAAAAGCACACAAGACCAGATTTCATGGGGGGAGTTTAGATTTCATGGTCCATGACGCATTTTTCATGGCCGTGAATTTGGTATGGCCCTAAACATAATAGCATGTTGTGACAGGATGCAGTGATATTTCCCTGACCGCAGCATCTGAAGTGTTAAAAACTGCAGTTTACATGATAATGGAGGTCATTCTGCCTAATTGATAGAGTGCTGGACTAGGACTCAATAAACTTGGGTCCTATTCTTGGTTTTGCTGCTGGCCTGCTAGGTGTCTTGGGCCTATCATGTAACCTCTCTTTGCCTTGGTTTCCTCATCTCTAAAATGGGGATTATGATACTGCCCTCCTTGGTAAAATGTTTTGAGATCTACTGAGGATCTCCATATAAATACCACTATAATACAACACTTATTCCCATCACAACAATCCTCAGCTGACGGGAAGAGATATAGAGCCAGAGTACATTGTTGTTGTAGTACATTGTTGTGTTGGTCTCAGAATAATAGTGAGACAAAGTGGGTGAGGTAGTGTCTTGAAAGCTTGTCTCTTTCACCAACAGAAGTTGGTCCAATAAAGATAGTACCTCTCCCAACTTCTCTCTAATAGAGCTAGAGTACATTTTACAAGAAAAAAAGACATTATATTTACCTCTCAGAGTCTGTAAATATTATGCATTAACTGGCATAACAATGAAAAAAGCCACCAACCATGTATATGTAGAAATATCATGATTATGGTAAAGGTGCAAGCATAATATAGGTTTTATGAATTATTGATAAAAGTATGTTACAGGGCTAAATATAGAGAACCTTGCCTAAAGGACACTGCAAAGACTGTGTTCGAACAAATCACACCCAGACACTTGTTAAAGTGATTGTGGGGGTTAAGTGCTCCCTTATGTCTGGATGCAGACTTGTCGAAAAAAGTGCTTCAGTGGACATTGTTCTGAACCTGTCTGAGGAGTTCCTCAGAACATAACTGGTCGGAAAAGGGTGGATTAACACCTAAACCCATTTGAATAAGCTACTGGTCAGTGTTCAGACCAATCTTTCCCATGCAGTCCTGCTGTATGTGATTTAGGACCAAAGACTTTCCCTGGTGACAACAGAGAAGTGAGATAGGACACCTGAATGGACAGTGTGCTGAGAGCTTGTGACAAAAACATCTAAGGTCAGAGAGGGAGCCAGTTTTTGGCTACAGGGATAGACAAAACACTATTGTAGCTGGGGTATCTGCAAGTGCAACTACGTGTATGTAAGTCTTGCTACTGTAACACAATCAGATAGAAAATATCCTAAATTTGTCATAAACTTTGATTCCAACAACAACAAAAAACTGACCCACTTCAACCCCTCAAAGTGTTATTGATTGACAAAGAGGCA